CAGTGGGGGTAGACCTTCATGAATTCTTCCTTCGTGTAGGGGCGCGCCACTCCTTGCGCATCGAAGATTCCGTGGCCTATGCTACGTAGGACCCCTTCGAGGCGCTGTGATGCCGGTCCAGGCAGGGGATCTTGCGGAGTCCCGAACACGTTGCGCGTTGCAAATTCGAGCTCCAGGGTTGACATCCCTTCTTCAGGCGGCGCGAATCGCCCAACTTCTCTTATCGCGGCTAGCCCTCGTCCTGCTACGGCTTTCGTCGATGCACTCGGCGTGTGGAAGTCTCTACAGATGCCATCAGGGTTAAGATCGTGCAGCGCGCCTTCGCGCTTGTGTGCGTGATGTGGCACCCAGGGCCTCCCGTCAAGATGTTTCAATTTGGAGCGATGGATGTGCTTGAAACGGAGCGAGATGATATCGATGAGCTCATCGGTGTCGCCGCTGCAGTCGGGAATGTCGAAGTCGAGGACGTACACCCCGTTCTTGGAGTGTGCTCATCCGATCTGCTTGCACGGCTTGTTCGGTGCAGTGTAGTGCAGGAGGATGTCGCGGGTCTTGAGGTCGGTCCCGAGTTCGAATTCGAAATCCGTGAGTTGTGCCGCCGAGAGAAGGTTGAATCCCAGATTCTGCACGATTAACACATCGTTCAACGTGATGTGTGTCCTGCTCCCGTGTGCCTTGAGGACGACGATCCCTTGTGCACTTGCGCGCAGACGGTTGTTGTTCGCCACGGTGATGTAAGTATCCGTGGGAGTGGAGACGGCATTGGATATGAGACGCGAAGATCCCACCATGTGCTATCCATCTATCCACGCGAAGCCCTGCGTTGTAGTGCATGTTGTCGTCGTGCGCGAGCAGTGCAAATCGCGGCGTGACGATGTGCGAGGTGTCAAACTTCAGGAATTGTTCACGCGGAATCTAGTCAATCAGTGCCGCCCGTGAATCGGATACATGCGGGGCTTTCAAGCAGCGGGATTGGAAGATTCCAATCCTGGTCATCGTCGTCACTGAAGTCGTGTCGAGGGGAAAACGGATTATTGCCCGTGAACGCCCTGATCGGATGACGTGCTGGCTCGGGTGGCGGCGTGCGCACGCGGGGACGACGGGTTCCGCTCGTATGGGTCATCGTCATGTTGCTGATGACATTCCGTACGGGTGCAAGTTGCGACGGGTGCTGTTGCTGGTGTTGAACCGTTGGGTTCGGGTTGCGTGATGGGGGCTGATAGCCCTGGCTTGACGCGCATCCTGCCGTGCGTCTTGTCGGCCGGCCAAAATGCTCGGATTGGACTGGCAAGGGGCAGAGCGGAATTTACATCGCTCGGCCAGATGCCCGGAATTTATGCAATTTTTGCAGTAAAGGCGATGCGGTCGTCGTTCTCGTCGCGGCGCTAGTCGCTGCTGATCCATGTCCCTTTGTTCGATGAGAAGGGCCGCGCATAGGGCGGCTTCCAAGATATCCCCCTGTTGCCTGTGGAGCGCCTTGCAGGGTCCCCATTCTGGGCCGAGTCCTGTGAGCACGATGTTCACGAAGATTTATTCTAAAATCAAGCTCCCGAGTTTCGCGATTTGATCGCGTAAGCTCCGGCAACGATTGATGTAGGCATTTGCCTTCTCCCCTTGTGCCATCTTTGTCTCCAGTAGCTGCTGGAGCAGGCTGCTTGATGACACCGAGTCCTTTGGTTGATACACACATGCCGCCAGGCTTCAAAGGCTGGAGCGGGGGATGTATTGTAGGAACGTATTCCCAGCTGCTCCGTCGGCGACATGTTGTGAGGAAGCACGCCATGAGTGATTCACTGTAATATTGTGCCTTGGCGTCGTCAGTGTCGGCCGTTGGTCCCGCGTAGCTCCCGTCAAAATAATGAAAAATCTGCGCGTTTTGCAGGAGCAGCTCCAGCTCGAAGCTTCATGAGTAAAAGTATCTGCGTCAAAGCAGGTGCTTGTCTTTTTTTTTTTTTTTTTATGCTCAAAAACATTGATTGAACTGAGAGAATTGCTTCATCGCTGGGACGGGAAGTCTTGAGTGTTGAACCATTTGTGTTAAGGGAGAAGGTGTGCGGGGCGATATCGTGGCCATTCTCGGCCGGTTGAGAGGGTTGGGAAGATGTTCGCGCGTTGTCATTCCGCAATGTCTGGAGCCATTTCTCCAGAGTCGAGAGACGTTGGAGCAGTTGTTCGAGTGCGACGGAACTGATCGTCGTCGTCTCCTCGTTTGTCGCACTCGGGTTGGCTTGCGCTTCAGCGATCAGATTCGTCTGACCTCCAGATCTTCCGGCCATCCTTACGCGTGAGCATGTGCCTGACGCCACCTTAGTTCGCTGAAGATTTCGGTGGTGGCGATGCGAAGGATTCCTGAGTCGCTGTCATACCTTGTTGCGAGAAGTTTGATCGTGCCTAGGATCACCTCAAGAAGGTTCGCAGAGAGTGTGTTGCAACGGAAGTATTGACCTCAGGTCAGAGTGAATATAAAATGACTGAGATGATAAAAACATACAAATACATTCGTTTATATAAGAGTACAAGGGAATACGAAACGGCCTAGACTAGCCATGTACTCTAAGGGGTACATTCCCTTATTGCAGCGAATCCCAACCGTGCGACTCCAGACGGTTACGATCTGTTCCCGCCAGAACCCTCGCCACTGTAGCTGCCCGATGCTTCTGCTCTGACGGTCGCTGCCTAACCGTACGCGACTCTTCGCGTCATTCCGACTTTTCGCCTTCGTACTCTTCATTATGTGCCTCGCTTGCTGTTAGAAGTGCCTAGTCCTTTCACAATGTACTATTATTCATAACAATATGGTAAGAGGTTCGCTTGATAAGAGGCCGTAGGAACACACCCTTAGAGCGTGTTCCTACGGCCTCTAGTCGGGCTGCCCTTTTAGCAAACTTTGTCCTTTGAGCGATTTCGTTATAAACACTGTTTTTCAAACTTGAAACAAACCAGTGTTGCGCGATGAATTGGGCGCGCGAAAGCTTTCACGTGTTAAAGGACCCTGTTTTGTCGGGTGTGAAGCATACGAAAGAATTTCAGCCACCAAACGCACGTTACAATCGCCTGTGATGTGTCAGGATTCACAATTGTTCCTTTCCAACCTTTCGGGGGGGGTTGCGCAGTGCCACGTCACCCATACATTTTGAAGCGCAATTCGCCAATCAACAAAAAAGGAACAATAAAAATAGTGTTTAAACTGAAGCATTAGTGTTTGAGGCGCGTCTGACAAGGGGCCAGCCTGACTAGAGGCCGTAGGAACACGCTCTTAGACATACGCAGATTCACAACAACCAGATCCTGCATGCTGTTGTTCAAAGATTCTTCCTAGCCAGCCATACTGTGCTTGCCTTTAATCTTTGGTAGATTCCCCTGGTTTAGCAGTCTAGAATGTTAAGATCTGGTTTAGGAGTCTTGAATTTCGGTGCCCTTTTGAGCTGTTAGTACAGATGCTAGGCCAGCCAGCCAGATAATGTAAATATCTGGATCCGGCAGGACATAGAGCAGAAAATGAGTGCTTGCTTGGGATGCACCCACAACACAACATTAGAATACATGAAGGTACGTGTAAATCTTGGTGTTTTTCTGAGCTCTTGTCACTTGCTCTTAGATCCATCCAGCAGGTTGCAATTTGCAATACACTTACGGTATGTTCTTGCTTCTCGGGCTTACGGTAAGTTAAAGCTTTTGAATGAAATCCGATATTGTGGTAACCACCTCATCCACTTTATTACTCAAGGAGTGGTCAGCTCCAGCTATCAGGGCAGGGGTGGCACCACCCATAGCAGCACAGAGCCTGGGGGGTGGTTGGGTCAACAATGGCATGAAAAGGTGGTGTCATTGTGGTAACCACATCATCCACGCTGTTACTCAGGGAGTGGTGGGGTCCAGCAATGAGAGCAGGGGTGGCACCACCCACAGCTGCACAGAGCCTGAAGGAAGGAAGGGTGGTGGTGGGATGAGCAACGGCATCAGATGGTTGGGTTCTTGTCCACTGTGTTACTCAGGGAGTGGTGGGAGCAGGGGTGCCACCACCCACAGCTGCACAGAGCACAAAGAAAAAGCCTCCAGCAATCAGAGCAGATTGTCCAATGCCTTTTAACGCTTGACGCTCCAGCCAAGGAGCATCACTTCCCACCGAGGTGACTCAAAAGTCACCTCAAATGGTGAACCTTAACAGGCAAAGTGACAAGTCACTCCAGCCAGGGGGCGTCACTACCCACCTAGGTTGAAACCTTTTCAGGCAAGGTGACTATTGGGTCGACTCAAGAGTCACCTCAAGTGGAATTCGCACAGGAAATGAAAGGGATGGAAGTAGTTGGAACGGTACTTCTGTAACAGCTTCTCCTTGTCTATGGTTCTTGGCACGTATTGATCCTTGCGGGTAGAGAGACGACTTTTGAGGCGCCTCAAAAGAGAAGGATGATAGAAACTTGAAAACTTACCTCTGTAACAGCTTCTCCTTGTCTATGGTTCTTGGCACGTATTGATCCTCCCCTGATAGAATCACCTGGGTGGAAAATAACATGGTGATTTCATGGATGGGGGAGCATGGTATAAGACTGGGTACATGTATAAATTCCCTGATCTTACCATCATTGTCATGCGCCCATGCACCCATGCGCCCATGCGCCCATGCGCCCATTCGCCCACGCACCCATGTGCCCATGCACCCATGCCCCCATGCACCCATGCCCCCATGCACCCATGCGCCTATGCGCCCATGCGCCTATGCGCCCATGTGCCTATGTGCCCATGCGCCTATGCGCCCATGCGCCCATGCGCCTATGCGCCCATCCGCCTATGCGCCCATGCGCCCATTCGCCCATTCAACTCCCCACAAGTCACCACAAGCTAATCCTCTCGCCATGCACGGCCATGTGCCCCAGTCGCTCCTTCAACTCACCACAAGCTAACCCTCTCACCATGCTCACACACCACCATCTCATCTCACCATGCTCACACACCACCATCTCATCTCACCATGCTCACACACCACCATCTCATCTCACCATGCATGGCCATGAGCCCATGTGCCCCAGTCGCTCCTTCAACTCTTTATCCGAAAAGTCTGAACTGAACATGTCGTCGTCCCCTCCCGTGCATGCAAGTGAGTGGAACCTGAGAAGTGAGAGGGCAGGTTGGAACATCGGATGGCATATGGCAATGGGAGGGCAGACGGGAGGGCAGATGGGAGGGCAGATGAGAGAGTAGAGGGTAGATGAGGGTAGATGAGGGTAGATGAGAGGACAGGTATAGGCAACTTGCAAGTCAGGGAGAGGATGCAGCAAGAAGGGCAAACGTGGAGTATGCCAGAGTTACTTTTGAGGATTCTCAAGAGAAATCTCAGGAGGATTCTCAAAAGTATCTTCAACACGAAAGGCAGTAATTTCTGCCTTTGTTGCAGGCTCCTTTGCTGGCTTGCTAGACCCATTTTTTAGTCGACTCAAAAGTTCTCAAAAGTCTCCCCAACACAGAAGGCATTGGACTACCCTCGTTGCAGGTTCCTTGGCTAGCTAGCTAGACCCATTTAATAGTCGAACCACATGTACACGTGAGTTGATTCTTCAGATGTCTCAAAATCCGGCTGGCTTGCCAGATCCACAGGTTCCAAAGCTGGCCTGCCAGACCCACCTGTACGCCGTGATTGGTGCGAGCGGGTCGGCGCTTCTTGGCATCATCTCGGCGCCTCTGCCGCCCGCAATCATGGCATGCGCCGCCCGTTTCATCTCCTCAAATGCTTCATCCGCTCCTTTGGCGCCCTCCCTCGCCTGCTGTTCCATGCACTCCCTGTCACTCGTTGGCGCCTGGCGGGGGGAAGGGAGGGAAGAAAGAGATATGGGGAAAAGTGTGCTTTCTCCCTCCCGAGATCATGGCTTGAGCCACCCGCTTCATCTCCTCAAAAGCCTCCTCCGCTTCCCTCTCCCCCTCCCTCGCCTGCTGCTCCATGCACTCCCTGTCACTCGTTGGTGCCTGGTTGGGGGAAGGCAGGGAAGAAAGACATATGGTATGGGAGAGATCATGGCTTGAGCCACCCGCTTCATCTCCTCAAATGCCTCCTCAGCTTCCCTCCCCCCCTCCCTCGCTTGCTGCTCCATGCACTCCCTGTCACTCGTTGGGGCCTGGTTGGGGGTGAAAGGGAATGTGTGGGGGATGGGAATTCATGGCTAGTGCCGCCTGTTTCATCGCCTCAAATGCCTCCTCAGCTTCCCTCCCCCCCTCCCTCGCCTGCTGCTCCATGCACTCCCTGTCACTCGTTGGCGCCTGGCAGGGGGACGAAACAGAAGGAAGCGAGACTAAGATGTGATGAACAGGCTTCAATGACTGTGCTTTGTCACCTGCTGCTCGCTGGAATGTCTTTTAATAAGAAACTAGGATCTCTGCTGAGAACACCTGGAAAACCACCTGGCGGACACCTGGAAATCATAACCTGGAATCAAAATTGATGGCACTTGGAAAACCACCTGGCGGCACCTGGAAAACCACAAAATGCATCGAAGAATAATCGGTGGAAACAATATGGCATCACCTGGAAAACCACCTGGCGGCACCTGAAGAATGGCGGCTTTGACTGCGCTGCGATGGGTAGCTTTAGTGCTCTTGAGATATGCCACTATGTCCTGATGGGGGGACGGAAGGGGAAGGGTGGGGGGGGGGGGGGGGGAGAGAGTGGGAGAGGTATACCACACTGCACTGCACCGCACTGTACCCTTCTGAGGCCAATGCTGTGCTACGTTGGCAGATACGCCTTGGGCAGGGTTGCGTACCACGTATATACGCTTGCGTATATACGTGATACGCTAATACGCTCGTATTTCTTGGAAATACGCCCGGGCAGCCCGCCGAAAAAAAAAAATCGAAATTGAAAATTTTCGCGAATGTTTTGCGACTTCGCGATTTGTTACCGCAAAGTCGCACATCGCCCAACCCACTTCTGAAATTCAAATTTTGAGCTCCAAACCTCCCACCACCACCCCAACCACACACCTGTCAGAATATTATGTTTCTCTAGTCTGCAGTGGGGTACTCTATAGTGAGTACAACCTTTTTAGGGTTTGCTATATGTATCCCAATGTTTGCTAGTGAACCTCTCACTTCCGCTCCATTCTTTCTCATTCCTGTTTCTTTCTTCACATGGTATCAGAGCTAGTTTCGATCCTTCCTCGGGCCCACCACTTAAACTTTTTTTTTACTGCCCTGCTGCCCGAAGCGCCCTTCGCGGCCCCTTCGCGGCCCCTTAACGGCCCCTTCGTGGCCCCTTAGCGACCCCGTCGCGGCCCTTCGTGGCCCCTTAGCGACCCTGTCGCGGCCCTTTGTGGCCCCTTCGCGACCCTGTCGCGGCCCTTCGTGGCCCCCCATTCGTGGCCCCTTAGCGACCCCGTCGCGGCCCTTCGTGGCCCCTTAGCGACCCTGTCGCGGCCCTTTGTGGCCCCTTCGCGACCCTGTCGCGGCCCTTCGTGGCCCCCCATTCGCGACCCCGTCGCGGCCCTGTCGCGGCCCCGTCACGACCTAGCCCCGGCCCTGCCCCGTCGCCCGGCCCTGCCCCGTCGCCCGACCCTGCCCCGTCGCGGCCCCACGTCACGGCCCCCCGTCGCGGCCCCCGTCGCGCCCCCCCCCCCCCCCCCCCGTCGCGGCCCCCGTCGCGCCCCCCCCCCCCCCCCCCGTCGCGGCCCCCGTCGCGGCCCCCCGTCGCAGCCCCACGTCGCGGCCCCCCCGTCGCGGCCCCCCCCGTCGCGGCCCCCCGTCGCGGCCCCCGTCGCGGCACCCCGTCGCGGCCTCCCGTCGCGGCCCCTGTCGCAGCCCCTGCCCCGGCCCTGCCCCTGCCTTGCCGCGGCCCCTGTCGCGGACCCTGCCCCGGCCCTGCCCCGGTCCTGCCCCTGCCCTGCCCCGGCCCTGCCCCGACCCTGCCCCGGCCCTACCCGGCCATGTCGCGGCGCACCCGGGGCCCGCGCCCCGCCCCCCCCGCCCCTCTTTTCCCGTCGCCCGTCGCGGCGCCCTAGGGGGCCGCGCGCGCCCCCCCCCCCCCCCCGTACCCTCCCTACCCGCCATCCCGCCCTGCCCTGTGTTAGGGTTTGGGGGTGGCGAGTAGGGGGTGGCGGGTGTGTGGAATCCCCTGCTCCTCCTCCTCCTCTGTCTCCCACTGCTGCAGCTGCCGCTGAGGGGGGTGGGTGTGTGGGAGCCGATGGAGTGGTGCTAGGGGGTGGGTGTGTGGGAGCTGACGGCGTGGTGCTAGGGTGTGGTGTGTGAGCAGAGTTAGAGGTGCAGCAAGGGGTGTGTGAAGGGGGGTGGGACAGTTGGGGGAGGTTGAATGGAGGCGGTCGTCGTGTCGTCAGCAGCACCAGTAGTCCGGGGCGCTGCTCCGGTAGCCCAGTCGTAGCCAGCTGCGCCATTCGCCCGTGGGTCCGTTGCTCCTGCCGCTCAGAGTTAGCCGCCGAGCCAGTTACTCCTGTAGTCCGGGGCGCTGTTCCGGTAGCCACTGTGCCAGTGTGACTCCTGTTGCCCGTGTGTCTTTAGCTTCAGCCGTCGCCTCCTATCTCCTCTCCTCTTACAGTCCCGCCTCCTCCTCACTTGCCCTCTGTGATAGCCTCTAGCTTGGCTTATAATTGTGAACTTTAAACTGTTGCTTGTGCTCAGAATGTGTGGTGACATTGTGATCCACCCTGAGCTTATTTTGCTTTGCTTCTTGTGCTGATTACACCCCACTTTGACTATGGGGGTGTGTCAGAATATTATGTTTCTCTAGTCTGCAGTGGGGTACTCTATAGTGAGTACAACCCTTTTAGGGTTTGGTATATGTATCCCAATGTTTGTTAGTGAACCTCTCACTTCCGCTCCATCCTTTCTCATTCCTGTTTCTTTCTTCACAACACCACCCCACCAAACCTCTCATCTCCAACCATCCCTCTCAAATGTTGTTCAGCAACTCGTCTACTCATATACTGAATGACGAGTTCCTTTCTGTCATTCAGTTTCCGTAGTCGTTTTCATTCCCGTAGCTCTCTTCTCCCGTTTTTCCTCATGGCGTCTAACTCCACCCCTCCTACTGCGACGAGCAATGTTGCCTCTGTTCACGAGTCCAATAGCGAAATCAATACGGAGCCTGTTGAGGCTGGCCTTTCGAACCCCATTTTGAAACATTTCCTTATTCCGTACCATACCAAAGGCACTCCCAAGATGTGTAAGTTTTGTGACTTCACGTTTGAGGGCGGAACCACTCGTTGCGCGGTTCACCTGGCGAAATGGAAAGGGCAGGGTGGACGCCCTGTCCGGCTTTGCAAGAAGGTGTCCCCGGCAGTCAGTGAAGAAGTGCGCGGCATGTACGAGGAGAAGGCGGAAAAGCAGGGCGTCAAACGAGGGGCGGCCGCTGCAGCAATTGACTCCGCGCTGGGCGCGGTCACTGGTTCTTCAGAGAAGAAGGGGAAGATTACGTCCTTCTTCGGCGATGAGGCAGCATGCGCCAAGGAGGACGCGGATAACGCCCTCTGCTTTTTTATCGCGGCGTTGAGACTTCCCGAGCGCATCGCGGACGACCCGGTGTTCCGTTACGCAGTCCAGTGCATTGCGCGCGCTGGACCGGGGTACGTCCCCCCCAATAGGCACTTCATTGGAGGGGCGGGCTTGAAGAAGGTGCGGCAGAAACTGGAGGAGGCGCTCGCCCCCGTTGCCGCGAGCTGGAAGCGTGACGGGGTCACCGTGTCGTCGGACATGATGACTGACCGTTGTGGCCGCCCGCATGCCAACGTGCTCCTTGTCAACGACTCCGGCGCAGTTTTCGAGCAGGCGGTCGACTGCCACATGGAGTCGAAGACCGGGGGTTACATCGCAAGCCTTCTCCGCCCCGTGATTGATAAGGTGGGGCCGGAGAATGTGGTGGCGATCTGCACCGATGGGGGCAGCAACTATGCCTCGGCAGCCAGGAAAATTGCAAGCACATGGCCGCACATTGAGCATGTGCCATGTGCCACGCATGTCCTCGACCTTATGATGGAAGACGTGGGCAAGATGGGATGGGCGAAGGGGCTCGTGGAGAAGGGGGGGATGATGATAAACTTTGTGCGCAACCACCACTTCACCCGTGCATACATGAAGAAGGGTGGGGGGAAACAGGTGCTTAAGCCCGCGGGGACCAGATTTGGGACGCAGTATATAGCTCTGGCCCGGCTATGCGAGGTGAGGGGTGGGCTGGCGAAGATGGTTCTCAGCGACGAGTGGAATGAGTGGGCAGCGGCGGACAAGGACAGGAAGATTGTAGCCGACAAGTTCAGGGCTGCCGTGATGGATGAGGAGTGGTGGGGGCTGGCGGGGTTTTTTACCTCTCTCATGGCGGTGCCGTTCAAGGCCATGCGGGCCACGGACTCCTCGGCGAAGGGGATGATGGGGAAGATGTATGATATCATGCTTCAGCTTACCGAAGACATGAATGACAAGTTGGACGAGGCAGACGACTATTTGACTCGGGCGGAGAAGGTAGATATCACCAAGATTGTGAAGGACAGGTGGGACAACTCCCTTGCCTGCCCCATGCATGTGGTTGGCCGGATCCTGAATCCGGTCAACCAGGTGGAGGGAATTTTCAGGAACGATGTGGAGTGCACGCGAGTGTTCAAGGCCTACATCGAGCGCCACTACGACAACAAAACCTTCAGGCGTGGCAAGGATGGCGCCCCTCGCCGCTCCTCCCTTGTGCTGCAAGAGGCATTGCTGGCCTACATCAACATGGAGGGCAGCTATGGCACGCCGGGCGCCATATCTGCAAGGGAGGCAGTGAAGAAGGGGGAGATGAGCATGGTGCAGTGGTGGTCGTGGCACAGCACCGAGTACCCTGAGCTGGCCGCCCTCGCATGCCGGGTTCTCACTCAGCCCGTCTCGGCTTCCCCATGCGAACGTGGCTGGGCGCAGTGGGAAGGCGTCCACACCGCCCGCCGCAACCGCCTCGGGTCCGCCAAGTGTGCGGACCTCGTCTACATTGCGCACAACTGGAACGTTGTGCGCAATTGGTACAAGAAGGATGGGGGCAGCACGATTGTGCCCGGTAACATCCCGGATGCCCCAATCCCTCGCGGCTACAACATGGACGAGGAGGAGGATGACCTGCTGGGGGCGGAAGGAGAGGATGCAGTTCTGGCGGATGAGTATGGGGCAGGGGTGGTGTTGGAAAAGCCCCGCAAGGAACTCGGCTGTGTGGAGGCTAGCTAGAGGGTGGGGTGGGGATGTATGGGGTGGGGAGAAGTAGCCCCAAAGATGTATCTCTGGATATTTATGAAATTAAATTATGACATGTGTGTTTGGGAAACATAACCCCCCCCCCCCTTGAACAGGTTTTTTTTAGCCCTGCCCGGGAAAAAAGTTTTACCTGCCCGCCCAGCGTATTTTTACGTATCAACGCCACCCCTAGCGTACCGCGTATATACCCAGCATATAATACGCTAGCGTATTATACGCGATACTCGTATCTGGCAACGTAGATGCTGTGGTGGGTGCAGAGTTAGGGCTCTTGAGATATGCCACTATATCCTGATATGACAGGGGTGGGGGAAGACACGTGGGGGAGGGGAGGGAGAATTATTATACAAACCACACTGCACCGCACAGCATCCCTCTGACATGACAGCAATGCTGCGGTGGGTGCATCTAGCGCTGTTGAAATAAATCACCATGTCCTGAAGCAGGGACATGGGGAGACATGTAAGAGAAAGGGAAAGGAGAGAGATGTGTGCTGATCGGGGGTAGTGCACTGCTGAATCTGTTCTTTGAGAATTCTCAAAGAAGGGGTAATCCACTCCTCTGCACTGCCTTAGCGTTCTTGAGATATGCCACTATGTGCTGCTGGGGGAAGACATGTGGGGCAGGGGGGAGAAAAGGAAAGATATACCACACTGCACCGCACTGGACCCCTCTGGCATCAACACTCTGAGGGGTGCATTTAGCTCTCTTGAGATATGCCACCACGTGCTGATGGGGGGAGGGGAGGGAAGGAAAAAGGGGGGTGGGAGAGTGGGAGAGATACGCGATACTGCACCGCACTGCACCCCTCTGATGTCAACGCTGCGGTGGGTGCACCTAGGGCTCTTGAGAAAAGGGATGGGGGGAAGGGGGGGAACGGAGGGGGGGGATAAAGACAACGCATTGCTCTTCTCCGCTCTCATGTGCTCTTCTCCACTCTCATGTGCTCTTCTCCGCTCTCATGTGCTCTTCTCTGCTCTCATGTGCTCTTCTCCGCTCTCATGTGCTCTTCTCCGCTCTCATGTGCTCTTCTCCGCTCTCATGTGCTCTTCTCCGCTCTCATGTGCTCTTCTCCGCTCTCATGTGCTCTTCTCCGCTCTCATGTGCTCTGAACTGCTGCTGTGGGTGCATCCTACAATCTGAGAGATCCCACTCTGTCCTGATAAAGGAGGAAGGAAGGGGGGCAGCAAGTGGGGAAGGGGAGAAAGGAGGAACTCCACAGGAAGGAGAATATTGTTTGAAGGAGGGGGTGGGGGAAGGGAGACATCTGAGGTGGAACAAATTGGGAAGCTGGAGTGCCGGAATGCAAAGGGAGAAGGGAGGAGTGTGGGGGACAGAGAGGCAGGAAGCATGGGGCATGCTGGATATGGGGAGGGGAGACGTGGCACATTGTACTTTGCTAAATTCACCTGGCATGCCTTGTCCTTCTGTTGTGTGCACCTGACGAACCATCGCCTTCTGTTGCAATCTCCTGGCAGGGCGTTCTGTTCAGTTAACCCGAAATGTCATTTTCCTCGGTAGATCCTCCTGGCATGCCGTGTTCTCTGTTGTATTCACCTGATACGCTGGTTCTCTGTTGTATTCACCTGACACATAGGTCCTCTGTTGTCACCTGGCACGAGAGTCCTCTGTTGTATTCACCTGAAACGCAGGCCCTCTGTGGTATTCACCTGAAACGTCAGGTCCTCTGTTGTATTCACCGGACACGCAACTCCTCTGTTGTATTCACCTGGAACCTCATGTTCCTCCGTTATATTCACCTGACGCAGCTCCTCTGTAGTATTCACCTGGCACACCATGTTCTCTGTGGTATTCACCTGGCAGCCCGTGCTGTGGCCGACCAGAACGACCTCCGAGGCGTGGTACCGCCTGATGATGTAAGCGATGAGCTCATCTATTTCGGCAGCATCCTGCCATGGGGCATGGAGCATAGAGCGTAAGGCATGGAGCATAGAGCGTGGGGCATGGAGAATAGAGCGTGGGGAATGGAGCATAGAGAGTGGGGCATGGAGCATAGAGCGTGGGGAATGTGACCAGGGCCCTGCCCCCGTGCATATGCCCAGGGGATGAGCAAGGGGCAAACACGAACCTGTTCGTGTTCGCCCCTACACGAACACATCCGTTTGCCGAACCGAACACTTAAAGCAAAAACACGCGTTCGCCTGTGAAGGCGTGTTCGGGCGAACCTCAAACACTGTTTGGCGAACACTTCAAGCAAAAAAAACAAACCGTTCGAGGCGAAACCAACAGGTGTTCGGCCTTGTGCTCATGTCTAGGCCCAGGGGCATGGGGAATGATAACACACAGGAAGGGCGGGGTAGGGGTGGGCGCAGCCTGGGGCATTGGACAGGGATTCAAGGCGTTGATAGGTCATTCCAGCCCCAGGTTCGTGACTTGCCCAGGTCAGCCAAGACCCAGTGACACTGCGCCACACCCCAAGCAGGACGGCGGCAGCTGAGTGTAATGAGGTTATTTTTGAGACGTCTAAAAAATAACCTCATTACACGTAACTTGCCCAGGTCAACCAAGACCCAGTGACACTGCGCCATGCCGCAAGCAGGACGGCGACAGCTGAGTCTGCAGCAGCAGCAGCAACAGCAGAGTGAGTCGCATGGCACAGCCATCGCACCCAATGGGTTGACACAGATCCCAGCACACACCCACCCACCCACCTGCCTGCCTGCTCCAGTGTCGCTGCTTTGTATCCCAAGGAGGACGAAGACAGCTAAGTCAGCAGCAGCAGCAGCAGCAGCAGACTGAATTGCACCGCCATTGCACCCAAAGGATTGACACGGATACCAGCACACACGGATACCAGCACACACCCACCCACCCACCTGTTCTAGAGATGCTACTCCGTATCCCAAGTAGCACGACAACAGCTGCAACCGCAGCAGCAACAGCAGCACTCTCATGTCTACTTCCCCCAACTACTTACCTGCTCTAGTGATGCTGCTCCGTATCCCAAGTAGCATGATGCCGGAAACTTCTGCGCCACCTGCTCCTGTCCCTTCACTCTTGCTGCCCTCTCCCTCTCAACCCCGCTTCCTTCTTGTTACTGCTCCCCTGTTCCCTCCTTTGTACTCAGCCACTACCTGAGAGATTCAGGCTCCCACACGCAGGCCGCCCACAGTGGCGCAGTCACCTAGCTTCAGTAGCTTTAAAACGGTAACACTTGACCACTATATGAGACGAAAAAACGAGAGAACGAACTAAGAATGAGTTCCTAGGCTATTATAAACCCACTCGCCCTACCTGCTCCCACTCCCTCCGCCCTACCTGCTCCCACCCCCACTCGCCCTACCTGCTCCCACCCCCACTCGCCCTACCTGCTCCCACCCCCACTCGCCCTACCTGCTACCACCCCCACTCGCCCTACCTGCTCCCACCCCCTCCGCCCTACCTGCTCCCACTCCCTCCGCCCTCCCTGCTCCCAACCCCACTCGCCCTACCTGCTCCCACCCCCACTCGCCCTACCTGCTCCCACCCCCACTCGCCCTACCTGCTCCCACCCCCACTCGCCCTACCTGCTCCCACCCCCACTCGCCCTACCTGCTCCCACTCCCACTCGCCCTACCTGCTCCCACCCCCTCCGCCCTACCTGCTCCCACTCCCACTCGCCCTACCTGCTCCCACCCCCACTCGCCCTACCTGCTCCCACTCCCACTCGCCCTACCTGCTCCCACCCCCTCCGCCCTACCTGCTCCCACCCCCACTCGCCCTACCTGCTCCCACTCCCACTCGCCCTACCTGCTCCCACTCCCACTCGCCCTACCTGCTCCCACCCCCTCCGCCCTACCTGCTCCCACTCCCTCCGCCCTACCTGCTCCCACCTCCTGTGATATCCCCACCTCCTGTGATATACCCACTCGCCCTACCTGCTCCCACCCCCACTCGCCCTACCTGCTACCACCCCCACTCGCCCTACCTGCTCCCACCCCCTCCGCCCTACCTGCTCCCACTCCCTCCGCCCTACCTGCTCCCAACCCCACTCGCCCTACCTGCTCCCACCCCCACTCGCCCTACCTGCTCCCACCCCCACTCGCCCTACCTGCTCCCACCCCCACTCGCCCTACCTGCTCCCACCCCCACTCGCCCTACCTGCTCCCACTCCCACTCGCCCTACCTGCTCCCACCCCCACTCGCCCTACCTGCTCCCACTCCCACTCGCCCTACCTGCTCCCACCCCCTCCGCCCTACCTGTTTCCACCCCCACTCGCCCTACCTGCTCCCACTCCCACTCGCCCTACCTGCTCCCACTCCCACTCGCCCTACCTGCTCCCACCCCCTCCGCCCTACCTGCTCCCACTCCCTCCGCCCTACCTGCTCCCACCTCCTGTGATATCCCCACCTCCTGTGATATACCCACTCGCCCTACCTGCTCCCACCCCCACTCGCCCTACCTGCTACCACCCCCACTCGCCCTACCTGCTCCCACTCCCACTCGCCCTACCTGCTCCCACCCCCTCCGCCCTACCTGCTCCCACTCCCTCCGCCCTACCTGCTCCCACCTCCTGTGATATCCCCACCTCCTGTGATATACCCACTCGCCCTACCTGCTCCCACCCCCACTCGCCCTACCTGCTACCACCCCCACTCGCCCTACCTGCTCCCACCCCCTCCGCCCTACCTGCTCCCACTCCCTCCGCCCTACCTGCTCCCAACCCCACTCGCCCTACCTGCTCCCACCCCCACTCGCCCTACCTGCTCCCACCCCCACTCGCCCTACCTGCTCCCACCCCCACTCGCCCTACCTGCTCCCACCCCCACTCGCCCTACCTGCTCCCACCCCCACTCGCCCTACCTGCTCCCACTCCCACTCGCCCTACCTGCTCCCACCCCCTCCGCCCTACCTGCTCCCACCCCCACTCGCCCTACCTGCTCCCACTCCCACTCGCCCTACCTGCTCCCACTCCCACTCGCCCTACCTGCTCCCACCCCCTCCGCCCTACCTGCTCCCACTCCCTCCGCCCTACCTGCTCCCACCTCCTGTGATATCCCCACCTCCTGTGATATACCCACTCGCCCTACCTGCTCCCACCCCCACTCGCCCTACCTGCTACCACCCCCACTCGCCCTACCTGCTCCCACCCCCTCCACCCTACCTGCTCCCACTCCCTCCACCCTACCTGCTCCCAACCCCACTCGCCCTACCTGCTCCCACCCCCACTCGCCCTACCTGCTCCCACCCCCACTCGCCCTACCTGCTCCCACCCCCACTCGCCCTACCTGCTCCCACCCCCTCCGCCCTACCTGCTCCCACTCCCTCCGCCCTACCTGCTCCCAACCCCACTCGCCCTACCTGCTCCCACCCCCACTCGCCCTACCTGCTCCCACCCCCTCCGCCCTACCTGCTCCCACTCCCTCCGCCCTACCTGCTCCCAACCCCACTCGCCCTACCTGCTCCCACCCCCACTCGCCCTACCTGCTCCCACCCCCACTCGCCCTACCTGCTCCCACCCCCACTCGCCCTACCTGCTCCCACCCCCACTCGCCCTACCTGCTCCCACTCCCACTCGCCCTACCTGCTCCCACCCCCTCCGCCCTACCTGCTCCCACTCCCACTCGCCCTACCTGCTCCCACCCCCACTCGCCCTACCTGCTCCCACTCCCACTCGCCCTACCTGCTCCCACCCCCTCCGCCCTACCTGCTCCCACCCCCACTCGCCCTACCTGCTACCACCCCCACTCGCCCTACCTGCTCCCACCCCCTCCGCCCTACCTGCTCCCACTCCCTCCGCCCTACCTGCTCCCAACCCCACTCGCCCTACCTGCTCCCAACCCCACTCGCCCTACCTGCTCCCACCCCCACTCGCCCTACCTGCTCCCACCCCCACTCGACCTACCTGCTCCCACCCCCACTTGCCCTACCTGCTCCCACTCCCACTCGCCCTACCTGCTCCCACCCCCACTCGCCCTACCTGCTCCCACTCCCACTCGCCCTACCTGCTCCCACCCCCTCCGCCCTACCTGCTCCCACCCCCACTCGCCCTACCTGCTCCCACTCCCACTCGCCCTACCTGCTCCCACCCCCACTCGCCCTACCTGCTCCCACTCCCACTCGCCCTACCTGCTCCCACCCCCACTCGCCCTACCTGCTCCCACTCCCACTCGCCCTACCTGCTCCCACCCCCTCCGCCCTACCTGCTCCCACCCCCACTCGCCCTACCTGCTACCGCCCCCACTCGCCCTACCTGCTCCCACCCCCTCCGCCCTACCTGCTCCCACTCCCTCCGCCCTACCTGCTCCCAACCCCACTCGCCCTACCTGCTCCCACCCCCACTCGCCCTACCTGCTCCCACTCCCACTCGCCCTACCTGCTCCCACCCCCACTCGCCCTACCTGCTCCCACCCCCACTCGCCCTACCTGCTCCCACTCCCACTCGCCCTACCTGCTCCCACCCCCACTCGCCCTACCTGCTCCCACTCCCACTCGCCCTACCTGCTCCCACCCCCTCCGCCCTACCTGCTCCCACCCCCACTCGCCCTACCTGCTCCCACTCCCACTCGCCCTACCTGCTCCCACCCCCACTCGCCCTACCTGCTCCCACTCCCACTCGCCCTACCTGCTCCCACCCCCTCCGCCCTACCTGCTCCCACCCCCACTCGCCCTACCTGCTCCCACTCCCACTCGCCCTACCTGCTCCCACCCCCACTCGCCCTACCTGCTCCCACTCCCACTCGCCCTACCTGCTCCCACCCCCTCCGCCCTACCTGCTCCCACTCCCTCCGCCCTACCTGCTCCCAACCCCACTCGCCCTACCTGCTCCCACCCCCACTCGCCCTACCTGCTCCCACCCCCTCCGCCCTACCTGCTCCCACTCCCTCCGCCCTACCTGCTCCCAACCCCACTCGCCCTACCTGCTCCCACCCCCACTCGCCCTACCTGCTCCCACCCCCACTCGCCCTACCTGCTCCCACCCCCACTCGCCCTACCTGCTCCCACCCCCACTCGCCCTACCTGCTCCCACCCCCACTCGCCCTACCTGCTCCCACTCCCACTCGCCCTACCTGCTCCCACCCCCACTCGCCCTACCTGCTCCCACTCCCACTCGCCCTACCTGCTCCCACCCCCTCCGCCCTACCTGCTCCCACCCCCACTCGCCCTACCTGCTCCCACTCCCACTCGCCCTACCTGCTCCCACTCCCACTCGCCCTACCTGCTCCCACCCCCTCCGCCCTACCTGCTCCCACTCCCTCCGCCCTACCTGCTCCCACCTCCTGTGATATCCCCACCTCCTGTGATATACCCACTCGCCCTACCTGCTCCCACCCCCACTCGCCCTACCTGCTCCCACTCCCACTCGCCCTACCTGCTCCCACTCCCACTCGCCCTACCTGCTCCCACTCCCTCCGCCCTACCTGCTCCCACCTCCTGTGATATCCCCACCTCCTGTGATATACCCACTCGCCCTACCTGCTCCCACCCCCACTCGCCCTACCTGCTCCCACCCCCTCCGCCCTACCTGCTCCCACTCCCTCCACCCTACCTGCTCCCAACCCCACTCGCCCTACCTGCTCCCACCCCCACTCGCCCTACCTGCTCCCACCCCCACTCGCCCTACCTGCTCCCACCCCCACTCGCCCTACCTGCTCCCACCCCCACTCGCCCTACCTGCTCCCACTCCCACTCGCCCTACCTGCTCCCACCCCCACTCGCCCTACCTGCTCCCACTCCCACTCGCCCTACCTGCTCCCACCCCCTCCGCCCTACCTGCTCCCACCCCCACTCGCCCTACCTGCTCCCACTCCCACTCTCCCTACCTGCTCCCACCCCCTCCGCCCTACCTGCTCCCACTCCCTCCGCCCTACCTGCTCCCACCTCCTGTGATATCCCCACCTCCTGTGATATACCCACTCGCCCTACCTGCTCCCACCCCCACTCGCCCTACCTGCTACCACCCCCACTCGCCCTACCTGCTCCCACCCCCTCCGCCCTACCTGCTCCCACTCCCTCCGCCCTACCTGCTCCCAACCCCACTCGCCCTACCTGCTCCCACCCCCACTCGCCCTACCTGCTCCCACCCCCACTCGCCCTACCTGCTCCCACCCCCACTCGCCCTACCTGCTCCCACCCCCACTCGCCCTACCTGCTCCCACTCCCACTCGCCCTACCTGCTCCCACCCCCACTCGCCCTACCTGCTCCCACTCCCACTCGCCCTACCTGCTCCCACCCCCTCCGCCCTACCTGCTCCCACCCCCACTCGCCCTACCTGCTCCCACTCCCACTCGCCCTACCTGCTCCCACTCCCACTCGCCCTACCTGCTCCCACCCCCTCCGCCCTACCTGCTCCCACTCCCTCCGCCCTACCTGCTCCCACCTCCTGTGATATCCCCACCTCCTGTGATATACCCACTCGCCCTACCTGCTCCCACCCCCACTCGCCCTACCTGCTACCACCCCCACTCGCCCTACCTGCTCCCACCCCCTCCACCCTACCTGCTCCCACTCCCTCCACCCTACCTGCTCCCAACCCCACTCGCCCTACCTGCTCCCACCCCCACTCGCCCTACCTGCTCCCACCCCCACTCGCCCTACCTGCTCCCACCCCCACTCGCCCTACCTGCTCCCACCCCCTCCGCCCTACCTGCTCCCACTCCCTCCGCCCTACCTGCTCCCAACCCCACTCGCCCTACCTGCTCCCACCCCCACTCGCCCTACCTGCTCCCACCCCCTCCGCCCTACCTGCTCCCACTCCCTCCGCCCTACCTGCTCCCAACCCCACTCGCCCTACCTGCTCCCACCCCCACTCGCCCTACCTGCTCCCACCCCCACTCGCCCTACCTGCTCCCACCCCCACTCGCCCTACCTGCTCCCACCCCCACTCGCCCTACCTGCTCCCACTCCCACTCGCCCTACCTGCTCCCACCCCCTCCGCCCTACCTGCTCCCACTCCCACTCGCCCTACCTGCTCCCACCCCCACTCGCCCTACCTGCTCCCACTCCCACTCGCCCTACCTGCTCCCACCCCCTCCGCCCTACCTGCTCCCACCCCCACTCGCCCTACCTGCTACCACCCCCACTCGCCCTACCTGCTCCCACCCCCTCCGCCCTACCTGCTCCCACTCCCTCCGCCCTACCTGCTCCCAACCCCACTCGCCCTACCTGCTCCCACCCCCACTCGCCCTACCTGCTCCCACCCCCACTCGACCTACCTGCTCCCACCCCCACTCGCCCTACCTGCTCCCACTCCCACTCGCCCTACCTGCTCCCACCCCCACTCGCCCTACCTGCTCCCACTCCCACTCGCCCTACCTGCTCCCACCCCCTCCGCCCTACCTGCTCCCACCCCCACTCGCCCTACCTGCTCCCACTCCCACTCGCCCTACCTGCTCCCACCCCCACTCGCCCTACCTGCTCCCACTCCCACTCGCCCTACCTGCTCCCACCCCCACTCGCCCTACCTGCTCCCACTCCCACTCGCCCTACCTGCTCCCACCCCCTCCGCCCTACCTGCTCCCACCCCCACTCGCCCTACCTGCTACCGCCCCCACTCGCCCTACCTGCTCCCACCCCCTCCGCCCTACCTGCTCCCACTCCCTCCGCCCTACCTGCTCCCAACCCCACTCGCCCTACCTGCTCCCACCCCCACTCGCCCTACCTGCTCCCACTCCCACTCGCCCTACCTGCTCCCACCCCCACTCGCCCTACCTGCTCCCACCCCCACTCGCCCTACCTGCTCCCACTCCCACTCGCCCTACCTGCTCCCACCCCCACTCGCCCTACCTGCTCCCACTCCCACTCGCCCTACCTGCTCCCACCCCCTCCGCCCTACCTGCTCCCACCCCCACTCGCCCTACCTGCTCCCACTCCCACTCGCCCTACCTGCTCCCACCCCCACTCGCCCTACCTGCTCCCACTCCCACTCGCCCTACCTGCTCCCACCCCCTCCGCCCTACCTGCTCCCACCCCCACTCGCCCTACCTGCTCCCACTCCCACTCGCCCTACCTGCTCCCACCCCCACTCGCCCTACCTGCTCCCACTCCCACTCGCCCTACCTGCTCCCACCCCCTCCGCCCTACCTGCTCCCACTCCCTCCGCCCTACCTGCTCCCAACCCCACTCGCCCTACCTGCTCCCACCCCCACTCGCCCTACCTGCTCCCACCCCCTCCGCCCTACCTGCTCCCACTCCCTCCGCCCTACCTGCTCCCAACCCCACTCGCCCTACCTGCTCCCACCCCCACTCGCCCTACCTGCTCCCACCCCCACTCGCCCTACCTGCTCCCACCCCCACTCGCCCTACCTGCTCCCACCCCCACTCGCCCTACCTGCTCCCACCCCCACTCGCCCTACCTGCTCCCACTCCCACTCGCCCTACCTGCTCCCACCCCCACTCGCCCTACCTGCTCCCACTCCCACTCGCCCTACCTGCTCCCACCCCCTCCGCCCTACCTGCTCCCACCCCCACTCGCCCTACCTGCTCCCACTCCCACTCGCCCTACCTGCTCCCACTCCCACTCGCCCTACCTGCTCCCACCCCCTCCGCCCTACCTGCTCCCACTCCCTCCGCCCTACCTGCTCCCACCTCCTGTGATATCCCCACCTCCTGTGATATACCCACTCGCCCTACCTGCTCCCACCCCCACTCGCCCTACCTGCTCCCACTCCCACTCGCCCTACCTGCTCCCACTCCCACTCGCCCTACCTGCTCCCACCCCCTCCGCCCTACCTGCTCCCACTCCCTCCGCCCTACCTGCTCCCACCTCCTGTGATATCCCCACCTCCTGTGATATACCCACTCGCCCTACCTGCTCCCACCCCCACTCGCCCTACCTGCTCCCACCCCCTCCGCCCTACCTGCTCCCACTCCCTCCACCCTACCTGCTCCCAACCCCACTCGCCCTACCTGCTCCCACCCCCACTCGCCCTACCTGCTCCCACCCCCACTCGCCCTACCTGCTCCCACCCCCACTCGCCCTACCTGCTCCCACCCCCACTCGCCCTACCTGCTCCCACTCCCACTCGCCCTACCTGCTCCCACCCCCACTCGCCCTACCTGCTCCCACTCCCACTCGCCCTACCTGCTCCCACCCCCTCCGCCCTACCTGCTCCCACCCCCACTCGCCCTACCTGCTCCCACTCCCACTCGCCCTACCTGCTCCCACTCCCACTCGCCCTACCTGCTCCCACCCCCTCCGCCCTACCTGCTCCCACTCCCTCCGCCCTACCTGCTCCCACCTCCTGTGATATCCCCACCTCCTGTCATATCCCCACTTGCTTACCTGCTCTAGTGACGATGCGCCGTATCCGAAGTAAGAAGACGACAGCTGAGTCTGCAGCAGCGACCAATGGGCGGCTGCCAGCTCGGACGCCAGCCTGGCGGTGTACTGCGTGGGCAGCAGCCCGTCCGTGAGGCCACCTAGGAAGATGACGTGGCGGGGGAAGTCGTACGAGCGGAAAGCGACCTGCGAGGAGAGTGGGAGAGAGACGGTTTTGGGGGTGGAAAAAAAAAAAACGTGGCAGGGGAAGTTGGACGACCGGAATGCAATGTGGAAGGAGTGAGGAGAGTAGGGAATGAGTGAGAAGAAGATGGAAGGACAATGCGGGGTGCATGCTTCTAACGAGGACGCACTATAACGAGGACGCACTATAACGAGGACGCACTATAACGAGGACGCACTATAATGAGGACGCACCTTGATGCCCATCTCCCCCCACCGGAACACCACCCCGCGCATCTCCATCCCCACGGCCCTCCTTCCCCCTTCTACACATAGAGGATGCATGCTTATAACGACTACGCACTATAACGAGGACGCACCTTCACGCCCATCTCTCCCCACCGGAACAGCACTCCGCTCATCTCCATCCCCACCCCCCCCGCCCCGCCATCCACGTTTTCCGCCTCCTCGTTTCTACCGCCGCTCGCCATCTCCGCGCTTTCACCGCCACTTGTCACGGCGCTCGTCACGGTGCTTCCACCAGCAAATCGCGGAACCCCTTCGGCGCTACACGACTGGCGAATCGCCTTTCACCGTAACCTCCCGCCCTGCCGCTGGTTGCTTGTGAACTCCCGCCAAATTCCCGGCAGCACGGTATTCCCAATGCGTCCTATTGGAGAATGGCTAGTCGAAATTTCTGAATTTGACGAGCTCCCTGAACAAGACGGAATCCGTCGAGCAGTCTGAATTTGCATTGGCCAGGAGAGGTCAACCCTAACGAGCCCATGGAACGCCCATGGCCCACTGGCTGTTTGACAAGTGGAATGTCGCACGCTGTCGCGATTCGGAATTTCGCGGTACTAATGGCGTACGAGCCACATTTCCATATGAGTACGGTGGTGAGTGGCTGGAATTTGGGTACCCGTTACTACTCGTTTCAGCTTGTGCCTTCAGACTATTCTGACACTCGGAATTTAATATATATAATAGTAAACCTCATTTGGTCAAAACTTGAGCGAACTGTTTTATAGAGGGTAGTGATTGACCACGCCAATAGGAAATAACAGATAAATCAGTCACTTGGATTATTAATCAAATTCCCGTGTACCAAATCAAGGTTTCCCTTTATATAGGCGCTAACTTTATTCGTAAATGTTACAATCATAATCAGGACTTAGCGAAGGATCGTCTCAGTGTTGATCGCAGGTTGAGTTGTTGCAGCGGAAGTGTTGACCTCAGGTCAGAGTGAATGTAAATGACTGAGATGATAAGAACATGAATACATCGGGTTTATAAAGGAATACAAAAGGAATACGAAACGACATAGACTAGCCATGTACTTTAAGTGGTACATTCCCTTATTGCAGCGAGGTTCAAACCGTGCGGCGCGGGAACCCGTTTCAAACATGTTCCTGCTCTTTTCACTTCAAATGTTACTTCCTGCATCGATCTTGATCTGACGATTGTTGGTGTCGCTTCAACTATTATGACTCCTCGATTTCGTACTCGGTAGAGTCGGCTCCTGCACCATACAGGAATGCCTTCTCACTAAGTTTCATATTGTAACACTCCCCTTCATTCCTGCACGTGTCGGGGGCTGACTCGCTTGACTACTCCGGTTATGTTGGAGCAGTGCTGGTACTGCTGACGTGGCAGTCGCTTGGTGAGGAAGTCGGCTGCCATCTCGGTGGAAGGGTAGTACGCGAGGTCAACCTTGCCCTGGTCAATTTCATCCTTGACGAAAAATACTGGAGAGCGATGTGATTTGTTCGATTAACGAACCCTAGCTTGTTCGCGATCTTGATGGCGCTCTGGTTGTCGTAGTGAAGGCGGAAGGTAGGCGAAGTTGGAATTTTCGCCTCCTATTGGAACTGCACCTGTTGCGGCGATGTATTATGCTTTAGCTGATGACAGTGTCAGAGGTCCACTGGTGATCCTCGATTGATCCTAGGGAAGGGTTACAAGCTCGTTGTCCTGGGGGGTTATGGGCGCACTGACCCGCTACTTAACAAGCCCTTTTATCCCAATGGTCTAGTGGTTGGGATTCTGACATGGTATCAGAGCTAAGGTCTCGGGTTCGAATCCCAGTGTGTGCAGTTCGGGCATCCCAGTGCGAGGGGGTGTCAGAGGTCCACTGGTGATCCTCGATTGATCCTAGGGAAGGGTTACAGGCTCGTTGTCCTGGGGGGTTATGGGCGCACTGACCCGCTACTTAACAAGCCCTTTTATCCCAATGGTCTTGTGGTTGGGATTCTGACATGGTATCAGAGCTAAGGTCTCGGGTTCGAATCCCAGTGTGTCCAGTTCGGGCATCCCAGTGCGAGGGGGTGTCAGAGGTCCACTGGTGATCCTCGATTGATCCTAGGGAAGGGTTACAGGCTCGTTGTCCTGGGGGGTTATGGGAGCACTGACCCGCTTCTTAACTAGCCCTTTTATCCCAATGGTCTAGTGGTTGGGATTCTGATAGACAGGGCATCCAGTTCCTGCTCCTGCGAGTTCCAGGAGATTGGGCCCGTTGGCTTCATGCGGAAGATAAAGTCGGTTCGTGACCGTCGATTCGCGAGGTCAGCAGCGTGATCTGCGTCCACGTAGCCGGCGAGGTTGAATGATGTTGTTGTCAGCGTGGAGTAGGAGAGCCCCATATCAGGTGTGGATATGAAGTACTTCAGGGCGCGCTCCAGGTCCAGGTGGTTCTCTACTACTGGCTTGCGGGAGTGCTGTGCCAGTTGGCTAGCGATGTACGAGAGGTCGGGTCGGCAGGTGACGGAGGCGAAGAACAGGCACCCCAGTTGTTGTTGGTAAAGGTGGAGTCCTACGGGCGACAGAGGTTTATTGTCCGGTTTGTAGTTGGCGCTGGGAGTTCGGTAGTATGGGTCCTTCTTCCTCTCCTAGTTTTGCTTCGTCTTCCTCCTCCTCTGCTTTTGGTTTTGCTGCTGTCTCTCCTTCTGCAGGTGCTGTTGTGAGGTAGAGCGCGAGAAAATTACGACCGGGAATGATGTTGAGCGGGGTTTTGGTGCCTTCGATGAAGCGGGCGAAGGGATCTGGCCGCGAGATTGGACCGTGCGCGTCGTGTGGCGGAGTTGGTGGTACGTTCCCCTCCTCAATCTCTGACCAGCTCCAGCCCCAGTTTTCAGGTGAGCGAGGCGGTGATGGTGGCTTCTGAGAGGGTCGCCCGAGAGGAACTACGACCCTTGGTGGGGTTCGCTCGGCGACCATTTCTCTCTCTATTTCTTAGATTTCTTCTTAGGTGAGGGGGCGATCGACGAGTCCCCAACTTTCTGTGTGTTCCCCATCCGCCTCCGCCAGTGCCTCCTCTAGTGCCCCACCCAGTTAACGTGCCAGAGGCTCCAGTTGCTGATCCCCATGTTGCCTTTGTATCGTCATCTCCCCAGCCTCCGGTCCTTGCTGATTTTTCGTCCCAGCCAGTTGCGAGTCACTCCTGGTAACGGTGTTCCTTTTCTTCTGCCTTTGCCTTATCTTCTTCCTCCTTGACATTGAGTTCCTCAGGTTTGTCGGGGTCTTTCCACTCCTTGTTAAGCTGGCGATGGATGTCGCGGGTGTAAGGAGGTGGCCGTTTCTCCTCATCAAGCGTCCCAATTGTTTGCTTCTTCCAGGATCGAGCGGAGAGTTTCCGCTGCTGGTGTTGGACGTTCTTGCTCCGCCATGACGAGTTCTTCATTTTCGATGCCGAAGATGCGATGGGTGGTGATAGCCAGCTCCATCTCTGTCATGCCTTGTGGCTCTACCTCGGCGCTTTCTGCTTCTTGCATAATCTCTTTCAACTTCTTCCATGCGGCTCGCCGTGGGTGTGAAACAGGTGGTGCAGATTCCGTCGGGTTCAGGCTGAACAAGATCCACCAGTTCGTCCGATGATGCCTTGCAGTCAGGTATGTCAAAGTCAAGTACGTAGACTCTGTAGATCGAGCGTGCTCGTCCCAGATACTTGGTTGTTCGACGGGTGAGTCGGGAGGAGCGAATGTGAGGATGAGATCGCGAGTGTAAGGATCTGTGGTGAGCGTGACTCCGCAGTCAGAGAGTTGTGCCGCGGACAGCAGATTAAAGCGCAGATCCGGCACGTACAGTACGTCGTTGAAGGTAATATGAGTGTTGTTGTCTCGAGCTTGCAGCACGACGATGCCTTGCGCATTGGCGCGCAGCTGTCCGTTGTCGGCGACGGTGACGTAGGTGGGGGGAGCGCGGCTGAGGTTCGAGATGTAGCGTGTTGATCCCACCATGTGTTGACCGCGGCAACTGTCCAGGTACCATGGGTTGTGGTCTGCGTTATTCCTCCGCAGAAGTAGCGCGAGTCGCGGTGTGACAGTGGTCGGTGTATCGACTATGAGGAAGTTTTCTTCTTCTCGCCATCCCAAAGGAACCGGTCGTTGATCATAACGGTGAGGGGGGCTTTCTCTCAGTTGAATTGGTAAGTGCCATTCTTGACGGTCTTCATCTTCGTAGTAGTAATGTCCGTCACTGAGTGGGTTGTTGTATCCCACTTCTGGTTGAATTAGCTCGCCGACGGGTTCGTCTTCTTCATCCGGTGACGTAGCTCGTGGGTGGTGCCTTGTTGCCATGTTCGCGATCACGTTTATTTTTGCTCTTGTCTGAGTCGCTTGTGACTGCTGCTGTTGTTGGTGAGCAGGTGGACGGGGAGCTTGGAGTCGCGGTTGCTGTCGAGCATCTTGTTGGCCGACCCAGTCGTTTTGGTGAGAGGGGTCCTGGGGGCGATTGTTGAACCGATACCTGCATCGGTCCGTTGAGTGTCCAAATATCTTGCAGATTTTGCAGTAGTGGCGCCTCGCTTGTCGTCGCTCTTCTTAATTGTCAGAATCCCAACCACTAGACCATTGGGATAAAAGGGCTTGTTTCAGTAGCGGGTCAGTGCGCCCATAACCCCCCAGGCTAACAGACCTGTAACCCCCCAAGGATCAATCGAGGATCTCACAGTGCAAGTCTTCTGACACCCCCCAACACTGGGAGGTCCAGGACTCGGCACAGCGGCAACGGCTTGCATGTGCATACAC